AATAAGCCACCAGCCCTGGGTGTCTCTTGATGCAATCCCAGAGCACCAAGAGAACTGCAGAGTTAATCACATACCTTGTTCCAGACAATTAAAGAGACTCTTGGAATACCCTCCTCACCCCCACAGACCCATATTTCTTTCCTAAATGAGCACAAACATAGCTATTCTGAACCAGAAGCTCCAAAGGCAACCCAGATCGTTCAAGAGAATAAATCTAAATAGATGAAAAAATAAATTCAGAGTCTCAATATCTATCTGCCTACAAAGAGACAAGTTTGTATTTCGTGAGCACCTCTCACTAGTCATTTCAACTTCCAATTGTCTAGAAAGAACCCTGGATGCAGAATACTACACCACCTCACAGGAAGGGAAAACAAGGCAGAAAAATGGTTTACAAACCCCTCACTACTGAGGACAAAGCCAATATTATAAAATCATAATGAAGTGATTTCTCATTAAAGTTTACCTCTTTGTACATTTCAATGTTTAATCCATATGACATAATACTGTAAAGAGAAAAAGGATTAAGCATTTCGTTAGCTCACATGTTTCATAATGATAAGAACACATAGATGAAAAAATCGAAACTTTGATACCTACCGTCACATAGTGACTCTGCATTTGTTTTTTCATGTAAACATTATGTCACTTGTTTGAACATTTGCCTCATACTCTGAGGGGTGTATGGCTGGCTAGGAGTAAGGAGTGAAGGTTAGGGTTGGGACTATGACTAGGTCTAGGTTAGGCCTAGAACACTTCTATTAGTAGGGTTATGGTTAGGACTAGGATTAGTGTTAAAGTTGAGGGCTGGGCTAGAGCTAGGAATAAGGTTTGGTCTAGTTTTTAGGTTACAGCTAAGTTTATTTCTACTTATTTTTTTTGGAAATTTATTTGATTTCCTCTTCATTCGGAAGTCTGTTTTACTTTGCATCCTTCGATATGTGGGTTGAGTCTAGGTGATATGGTCCTGTATGTTACTCTCAGGTTGTTGTCTGCTGGTTTTGGCTCTCAGTTCAAAGAACTCCTTTTAGAACTTTTTGTAAGGATGATCTGGTTTTTATAAGTTCTTTTGTTTATCTGAAAATGACTGAATTTTGTCATTATATTTGATGAACAGTCCTACTGTATGTTTCTTGGTTGACAATTTGTTTCTTTCAGAGTTTTATATGAGTCATTTCATTGTCTTTCTGTCTGGAAATCAGAGTTTAGTATTATTAGTTCTCCTTTCTGGGTAAATTTTCATTTTTCCTGAGCTGCTCTCAGGATTTTTTTCTTGTCTTTGGTTATGAAAAATTTGATTATAACATGCCTTGGTGTTTTTCTTCTGGGGTCTATTCTGTTTGAAGTTTGTTCAACTTCTTGAATAGCTACTTTCTCAACTTACATGGTATTATGGAAGCTTTCTTCCAACAGCTCTTGGACAATATTTTCTACTGCTTTTTCTTCCTGTTCTGAAATTCCTTTAACACGTAAGTCTTTCTTCTTGATACTGTCCCACATAAACCTTAGGTTTCTTTTCAGATTTTTTTTTTTTTTTCTAGATTGATTCTCTAGCAGTTGATTATTGAGAGATTTTTCTTTAGGATCAGTAATTTAAGTTTTCCCTAACTTATTTATATTTCTTTGCTCTTTTAGTGCATTATTTATTTCTGAAGTCTAGTGTCAATCTTCTGGCTTTCTAATTGCTGTATGTTGTTGTTAGGTGCCATCAAGTCAGTTCCAAATCATATCGACCCTATGTAGAACAGAACGAAATGTTGTACATAGGATCGTGCACCATCCTCAAATTACTGCTATGCTTGAGTCCATTGCTGCTGCCCCAATTAATTTCATTGGGGGCTTCAATCTTTTTCACTGACTCTCCACTTTACCAAGCACAACATCCATCTCCAGGGACTGGCCCCTCCTGATATGTCTAAAGTATGAGACACGAAGTCTGGTCATCTTGGCTTCTAAGGGTCATTCTGATTGTACTTCTTTCAACACAGATTTGTTTATTCTTCTGGTTAAACATGGTGCCTTTAATATTCTTCTCCAACACCATGACTCAAATGCATCAAATCTTCTAAGGTTTGCCTTATTCATTGTCCAACTTTCACTTGCATATGAGGCTACTGGAAATACCACGGCTTGGATCAGGTGTACATTAGTCCTAAAACTAACATCTTTGTTCTTGAATATTTTAATAAGGTCTTGTGCATCAGATTTGCCTAATGCAATATGCCATTTAATTTCTTAACTTCTACTTCCACAAGTGTTGATAGTTAATCCAAGCAAAATGAAGTCTTTGACAACTTCAGTTTTTTCTCCATTTATCATGATGCTATTAATTGGCCCAGTGGGGCGGATTTTTGTTTGCTTTACATTGAGGTATAACTCATACCAAAGGTTGTGGTATTTTAAGCCCTCTTTGCTTTCAGCAAACAAAGTTGTATCATCTGTATATCACAGGTTGTTAATGAGTCTCCTTCCAATCCTGGTGCCAAATTCTTTTTCATATAATCCAGCTTCTCAGATACACCGTGGTACACATATTTCCTGAGATTAACCATTCAGTGCCCTCTTGTTCTGTTCCAACTACTGGCTTTTGGTGTATGTACAGGTTCTTCATGAGCACAATTAACCAAAATACCCATTATTCACAATGTTGTTATAGCTTTTCATGACGTACACAATTGAAAGCCTTTGCATAGTCAATAAAGTACACGTAAACATCTTTCTGGTACTCACTGCTTTCAGCCAAGATCCACTTGACAGGATCAATAATACCCCTTGTTCCATGTCCTTATCTGAAACCAGGTTGAAACTCTGGCAGTTCCTTGTCAAAGTACTGTTGCAGCCATTTTAAAATTACCTTTAGCAAAATTTTACTTGCATATGATATTGTCCAATGATTTCTGCATTTGTTGGGTCACCTCTTTTTGTAATGGGCAGATATATGGATATCTTCCAATCAGTTGGCAAGGTTGCTTTCTTCCAGATTTCTTGGCATTAGATGAATGTGTGCCTCTAGCACTGCATCAGTTTGCTGAAGGATTTCAATTTGTATTGTATCAATTTCTGGAGTCTTGTCCTTTCCCAACGCTTTCAGTGTACGTCTTCCTTCAGTACCTTTGGACATCTTTCTTAAGTGCCATTGGTTCTTGAGAGGCTTGAACACTTGCTTTTTGATACAGTGACTCTGTATTGCTCCCATCTTCTTTTGATGTTTTCTGCATTGTTCAATATATTACCTATGGCATAGGCAATATTGCAAGTCGAGGCTTGAATTTTTTGTTCAGTTCTTTCAACTTGAGAAGGACTGAGTGTGTTCTTCCCTTTTGGTTTTCTAACTCTATGTTTTCGCACATTTCATTATAATACTTGATTTTGTCTTCTTGAGCTGTCCTTTGAAATTTCTATTCAGCTCCCCTATCTCCTCTTTTCTTTAATTTGCTTTAGCATCTCTACATCAGAGAGCAAGTTTCAGTCTCTTCTGACATCCATTTCGAC